GATTGACAGAAACTCCCCAGACTCATTATGGCCTTTGCTCCAATGTTTGTTCACCCCTCTTCTCCCGTCAGCCAATGTAAAAGGGTGTCAGAGCGGTGTCACCTATTCGTGCGACAATGCTGGACCTTCGGTGAAAGTCTTCTTATGAAGAGGACTAGTAAGCTCAAAATTAATTAGTCTCATTATTTTTTCCTAATGCTTGCTCTACGAGGCAACTGAACGCTCCCGACAATTAGGAGAAAAAACTGGCTCATGAGTATGTATGTAGCTTCTGGATCGGCTAGCCATCAAGAACCTTCACTTTGAAGGAATAACAATATGTGGCCAGATCGAGTTCTGTCATATCTTTATTATGTCAAGATATCGATCGTCCTTATTGACAACTATATACATACACATATGTTTGTTATGTTGTGTTCATTACATGACCACGCATGTAAGTTAGATTAATACAATTGGAAAAACGAAAATACAACGCACACGAGTACATAACTAGTATTCTGAGGCAGCTAGTTGAATAAATAGTAAAAGATTTGCCCGACTTTTGATATAGCGAACCGGCTCTATTAACAAAAAAGTTAGCTCTCACTGAAGTTTTGGGTAAAGACAGCACTAGTTTCAGAGAGGCCCCCTTGTACTCGACGCCAACATTCGAAAAAAGGATTTACCTATTTTGACCTCATCTTTCAGGATTTTACGATTCATCATTAAATCATTCCTCTTCCTCCTTGCCTACAAGCTAGAAACTTTGAATATTTTATTACTACTCTCGCTATGTGGAACCAATCGATAGTATGTCAGGAAAATCAAGCCTGTAATGCCTGAATGTGTAAATTGGTTGGCACCGCTTTTTGGTGTAGCAGAAACACTAAATTCTACTTCAAAACTTCTAAATCGGGTGACCTTACTTGTACTTCATGTGTAGACAAAGCTCGCTTTCAAATGCTCTTTCATTTGGTGTTGCGTTGACCGTGTGAATGGCTCACCTAAAAAGAGTTTGATCTGCGGCGAACGATCAATACCCATGCGCAGCTAATGAATGACCGATCAAAGAGACTCCCCACTTTAATACTGTTTGAGTTGAATCTTCTTTTTTTACTTGTTATTGATTTTTGTGTGTTTTTAAATGAGCTGAAATTGCGAAATCATCGATTTCATGATTTTCGATAAGTTTTTTCGGCGATAAAGAAAACTTGTGAATCTGCAGATAGCGCCCAAAAGCGTGAAAGGGTGTTCGAGAGAAGTCCCTCTGGCTTGTGAGTTCATTAAAATTCAAAGCTTCTCCTCGTCAGCACCTTGATTAGTACTTACCAAAAAACGTGTTTTCCGTCCGACTTGTGCACATCACGTGCTCAACCGCTCCATTCCTCTATGACGATTCTAATTAGTCGTATAAGCTTCGCATTAACCAGCTTTATGTGTCATGCCAAACATTTCAATGTTGCGATTTTCCGTTGATGAGAATGCTTCGCGAGGTGAAAAAACTCTGCTTTCTGCTCATCACATTGAGAAAATGAATTTGTGCATGCATAGATATAAATAAGCAGTGAAAATAGTGCAGACACTCTAGCAGAAGAGTCTCGCAAGAGTTTGGATATGGTCATGTGGGGAGAACGTCCGTTGCGCGTGTCCGTCGAAAGTAGGTCACCCCGCCCACTT